ACACACAAACATACACATCACACACACAAACACACACATATACACATACAAACACACACACATTACACACACATCACACACATACACACATCACACACACATCTTAAAAGATAAAAGAAAACAAATCTTTCACAAAACACAGAGAGATATGCACACTTGTAATCCCAGCACTTGAGAGGCTAAAGCAAGAAGATCAATAGTTCAAAGCCAGCTAAGGCTGCATAGCAAGACCTTGCCAGAAGCAAACAAAAACTACTGCTCCTTGAATAATTACAAATGCGAACACATTCTCTGCTTAGACAGTAACTCTACTACCACAGTTACTGCATTAGCTACAGCGCTTTACGCATGGCCTTTAAGGTCCTCCCTGATGGTGCGGATCCCCAGCCAGGTCTCCCTCATTTGCCCCACTTTGACCACAGGCTGTTGTTCCTCAAGTACCTTTTCTTTTTAAATTTTAAATAATATTTATCATGTCATATGGCTGGCTTTCCCTAATGCTGAGATGGATTTCTTGACTCATCAGTCAGGAGCTGAACCCAGAGCTGCCTGCCTCTAGACAAGGACCATCACCCTGCACTGTGTCTCTACGCCAAGGCTGAGCACAGGCAGGGAGCAAGGCCTCCTTGACCTGCCATGTGCCTTGTCTCTGTGAGGGTTGATGAGGAAGCCGGCAGATGGACCTTCACTCTCTCCTTTGTTTCCTCCTTTCTCGTTCATTGTCAAAATTTAAGTTTTTCTCTCCACAAGAATCATATAGAATAATTTGTTAAATCTGATGACATGGTGGAAACGAAAGGTAAAGTGATGAAAGAGACTGCATAGTGCTCTGGCCAGGTCCCCCAGCTCGCAGGGAGGCTGGGGCAGTGTTACTCATGGCAGGGCTCTGCTAGCCCTGTGTGTAATGACGTCAGTTTCCACTCACTGACCTTTACCTTCAACAGGCCTACTCAAGACTTTACACACTCACAAAACAACTCACGGCAAACATCTTCAAAAGCTGATGCATTACAAAAATTACAACCAGGGTCCCCCTCAGAAACAAAACAAAAGTTACCTTCGCCATGAATTATTTCACCATTGCTTAACAGCACCCTGCAGCACCCATGCCACAAGAAACTCTGAGGTATCAGGAAAAGAAAGACCAGATGTCCAGCTGTTTGCACTAAGAAGTGTCTTTATTTTGCAAGTGCTAAGAGGTCTCTCTCTTGCAGAAGGGTGCAGTCTCATATATAGTCTTACAACACAGTAGAAAAACCCCAGGTGGAAGAGAGCATGTTTTCCTGGTGCTAGATGTTGATGTCAGTGAGGCAATGCAGGGGCACTAAGCCAGGACTAGAAAACAGGATGCACCTGTGGCTATCAGCTGACAAACAACTCAGAGACCCTGTGAGGGCTAGGCCCCAACATCTCCCCCTTTTTTATTTTTTGAAATTTTGTTTGAACAGTTTGCTACTCTATAGAATCTTTTATATAGATTTTTTGGCTCTCAGGCCATGTTGTAGGCTTTTGCTATTTTTCTCAGGGGCTACAGCCATACCCATTCCTTGTAAAAAGTTTTTAGAGATGACTAACAAAATTGACCTTAAATTTGTAGCAATAACCAACCCTGTATAAATGCAAACAAACATTTATAAACAATATTTGGGAATGTGGGCGTCATTCTTTCCAAACTACTTCCTGCTGTTAAGGGGCACTGTTCATACCATGGGGATCATGACAAAACTCAGAAACCTGTATAAGTCCTTATTTTCAGGGTCTGTAAGGATGTATCATCTTAGCTGTTTTAGATGTTGAATCACTTGGGCCACTGCTTCCAGAGGTCTTGCTTCATCAAACTATACTAGTCTGGAAGCCACAGCTTTTTATTTTCTGTGGAAACAAAAGCAGAATTTTTTTTCCAAGTAACCTGTCCTTATATTTAAATTTAGAAGTCAAAGCATTTTCAAAATATGTAAGTTGGATTATTTCAGCAACATTAATAATCAAATGTCTTTTAGTAGTTTTTGTTTCTTTCTTAGCAATTAAACAGTTTAAAGACAACACAACAGCACACAGTATTCAGACTCTCCGTGTATTTTCCATTCCATATACTTTTACCTTTTTCTTTTCTTTCACTTAATACCAGTACCTCGTTTACTAACTGTAGGAGGAAAACAATGCCGCCATTAACCATGTGACTTACTAGAGGCACATACAGATGAGGTAATAAAAGAGCGGTTTACCACACCGCTAACCACACCCACTTTAGGCATGACTAAAGACGTATACGTACACAGGCGGTGAATTACGTCACTAGCCAGGCCCACTATTGGGCATGGCGGAAAACTACTCGGCTCATCTGGGTTACTTGTTTGGTATCTTCATCAACTAACTGTTACCAATTTTCAATTCACCTATTTTCAATCCATCCTCCAACCAAGGATGACCCCTTAGGCAAAAGCCTTAAGATTTACTCAATCCACCCTCCAACTGAGGGTGATCTCTCAGGTTCCCTTTCTTTCCCGACCTTGCGGGAGAAGGCCTGGAGATTTAATCTGGTACTCCTTTCCAATACACCCTCATAGCCTTACTTGCTGGCCAGCCTTTGAGGGCGATCTCTCAGTTACCCTTTACTTTCCTGACCTCAATGGATCAGGTGAAAGGCTGAAGATTAATTTAATACAACTTCTCCTTAGAAGGTGATCTCTTAAGCAAAAGCCTGGGGATTTGACCATTCAATTTTACTGTTAGGAGCTGAGGTACCTGTTTTTAATTCTTCTCTTTCTTGAGTCTCTCCTCTCCTGAGTCTTCTTTCTGGCCAATCTTTCCCAGTCTTTCCAAGTCTCTCTGGATCTTGTGGAACCTCCAATTGTGGCGCCCGCACCACAAGCAACTCCGAGGTATCAGGAAAAAAAAGACCAGATGTCCAGTTGTTTGCATTAAGAAAATGCATGTGCTGCCTTTATTGCCAGGAGAATGTGTGTGTGTGTCTTTATTTTGCAAGTGTTAAGAGGTCTCTTTATTTTGTAAGAGGGAGAAGTCTTATATATAGTCTTACAACACAGTAGAAAAACCCCAGGTGGAAGAGAGCCTGTTTTCTTCCTGCTAGATGTTGATGTCAGTGGGGCAATGCGGGGGCAGTAAGCCAGGACTAGAAAACAGGGTGCACCTGTGGCTATCAGCTGACAAACAACTCAGAGACCCTGTGAGGGCTAGGCCCCAACAGCACCCAGTTTTGTTCTGCAAACACCCCAAAGCACCTGTGTTTCTTCACACATACACTTAAATCATTCTAAGCTCTGCTTGAATGTCAAGAAGGCATGCTTGACAGGAGGCAGGGAGAGGTGTATTAGAACCCCTTTCACCTTGTTCTCAGACCCCTGCAGGGGCTGTGGGTGATTGGATAAATTCACCAGGAGGCAAAACTCAGGGACAAGACTCACAGGCTGAACTGGCTCGGGCCTCAGCTGCCCATGGCAATGGCTGTAATAGAATGCTTACACATTTCAGTGGTGCAGGTGCTGTGTCTCACCTAGTGAAGGGTAGGCAATCCCAAAGAACTCAACCTCAGTTGTTGTGACTTAAAGTGTTTCTAACTACACCACAAAAACTTACACTCAGACACAGATACACACAGACACACACACAGACACACAGGCACACACACACACGACACCTCCCAGCAAGATCTCACATCAGGGAGGGGACTTGAGGGGCTGGGAAGAGAGAGGGGAGGGAGGGGAAATTTTGATTGGGTTGGGAAAAATTAATTAATTAATGAAGTAATAAAAAATGATGGGCTGTGAGACTCCACTCTTCCCTCTCACAATGCTGGTGGGTCCTCTGAGAGTTGTTTGTCACAGTTGTCACAGTTGAAGTCCTGCTTGCTTGGCATTTGCTCTTCCATTAAAATGAACTCACCAAAATTTTCGTTGTCATTCCTGGCAAGAAACACAGTTTACCCAAAGTGTCACAGGTTTTCATTTAATATTTAGGGTGGAGTCACCCTACACTCTACTCCAGCAGCTTATTTGAAATTGAATATTTGGACCCCTAGGAAGTTTCTCAGACTAAGGGATGAAATTCTTTTCACTTTAATCCATATGGTAACTTAGCTCCGTGCCTTTTACTGTCCTGGACACCCAGGCCCTTGGGTTATTTTTCTACATCAAAGTGGCTTTCTGAGAGTTTTGATAAAGGAAATTATTTCTTCTACTGTAGATATTATGAGTGTATTTGGTGGGGGGCATAAAGAAGTTAAGACAGGGTTTCTGTCTGTCCTGAACTCTGTAGACCAAGCTGGCCTTGAACTCACAGAGATCTGCCTGTCTCTGCCTCCTCAGTGCTGGGATTAAATCATGGGCCACCCTGCCTGGCTTTCTAGGCCTACTTTTAAAGTCCTCCTTTCAGGCTTATAAAAAGACACTATAAAGTAGCATTGAATACTAACTGACATGCATGTATGTAACATCTAGCCTCATGGACTGAGCAATTACTAGATTCTTGGACCTTCTATTGGTAGACAGCCATTGTTGGACTGGCCAGACCACAGCCTATAATCTACTCTAATCCTTTTGATATGTATTCATTCTGTAAGTTCTGTTTCTCTAGAGAACCCTGACTAATACAGTCATCATCACGGAACCTACTCCACCTTGAATTCACTGACTGCAATCTTTGTAAGCACCCTGTGAGGCAGATCTTATTGTTACTGTGAGCTGCCTGGGATCCCATTAACCTTCGGTAGAAATCAGAAATGGGCAAGGAGAGGCTCTTCAGGTGTCAGCTTTGGGCAGCTTTTGTCTCCATTGGCATTTGACAGTCTCAAGAGACAGCAGAAGGCAGACAGGAGCAGCAAGTGCTCCCTAGTGTTAAGGTCTTGTGAAGCCTGGGAGCCCTAAAGACTTATCTGTCTTTAGTGTTGAGGTATGTTCCTTGGATGCAGGGATCCCATTTTTTCAAACCCATAGTGAATCTGTGTATTTTGCTAGGAGAGTTGAGTTCATTGATATTCAGAGTTATTACTTAAAGGTGTTTATTAACAGTAATTAATAATTCATTTTGTTGAATTTGTGTGTTTGGTGGTGAGTCGGTTAATTTTTGTTGACACAAACCAGAGACCTCTGGGAAGAGGAGACTTCAACTGAGGAATTGTCTCCATCAGACTGAAGTGTGGGCTGTCTCTGGGGCCATTTTCTTGAAGTTCATTGATGGAGAAGGGCCTGGCCCTCTGTAGGTGATGCCACTCCTGGGTAGGTGGTTTTGAGCTGTATAAGAAAGGTAGCTGCTGGCCTGGAGCCTGGAGCAAGGCACAAAGTATCATTCCTCCATGGTCTCTGGGTCAAGCTCTTGCCTTGAGCTCCTGCCATGGCTTCACTTGGTGATGGATTGTAACCTGTGAGCCAAATAAAAAATAACCCCATTACCCCTTTTCTTCTCAAGTTACTCTTGTTCATGGTATTTTATCATACATCAGGAAGCATTTTAAATCATCCCTTCTCTAGAAGATCAAATCATAAATTCTTGGGGACTGTTCCTAAAACAAGAGAACATTCTTGGTCTAAGTCACTTGTCCATTCTTTGCCACTGAGCTAGCTGTAGGTGTGTAGTTGTCCTACTAGGCCTAGGAGGTATCTGTTTACACAAAATCCCTGGGAAGTTGCTTTTCATCCTCACTGAGCCCAGATTTCTCAGGCCAACAGTCCTTAGGAAAAGTGTGTGGCTTTCTGGTGACATTCCATGGCTCATAAATTTAACATCCATGGAGGAAATCTGTCTGCACAAGACTTTGATCTTTTTCTTTTTTTTTCTTCAGCCTTTGGTCCTCTGACCAGGGTAGTTTAGAGATCAAAGTTTTGCCCATCGAGCTTCGGTTCTTAATCACTTGAGGTGTTTTTATCTCAAAGTTTCTAGAAAAGCTACTGTGGAAAGCTGTCACACCCATACCATGAGTTACACAAATATGAGCAGGGGTTTCATGCCCAACAGGTGCATAAACAAGACAGTCTGACTAAACCAAATGTCAATATTGTGTTCTGCATCACTGTAAGAACGTAAGAGGGTTTGGTCACTGTGGAAAACAATTTGCAATTACCTTGTAAACATAGACCTCGTTGTCCCCATTATTGGAATAACATTCTAGAGAAGGCCATGTCAGCTTTATAATGGAAAAGCAGATTAAGACAGGCTAGAATCTGCTAGGTTTTTGTGGAGAGCTGCGTCACACCGTGCCTCAAAGATGGCGCCGGCTTCCGCATTCCACCATCCCGACGGTGAGTGCGCTCAGTAATAAACAACTCCTTATTTGGCCTGCTCCCATCCCGCCGGGGTCATGCCATCGTCATCAGATTGCTTATGCATTCTGGTGAGCCTATGGCTTGCGCACACGTGGCTGCTCAGGGTTGGCTGGCCTCAGCTATTTAGGGAGCAGGAGGGGTTTCTCCCGTGGCTGCCTCGACGTTGTTTCAAGGTTCCTGAATAAACCGCTTGTGAGAAGGATTCCTGAGTCGCGTCTTCCTTGCTGGTCGAGGTGGTCGTGACAGGTTTTCAGGAGAATAATGTGAGAAGTAGTCACCTAGAGCAGCAGTTCTCAACCTTTGGGGGTATGGCCCTTTCACAGGGATGGCCTAAGACCACCGGAAAACGCAGATATTTACATTATGATTTGTAACAGTAGCAAAATGACAGTTATGAAGTAGTAGTGAAAATAATTTTATGATTGGGGCCACCATAACATGAGGAACTGCATTAAAGGGTCTCAGCATTAGGAAGGGTGAGAGTCACTGACCTAGAGAAATGTTATACAATGATAAAAATCACCTCCTGCCTGCTACCGGCATCAACATGGAAGCATAAAAGGTTCAGTGTGGAGGACTTCAAGTGGGAAGGACTTCAGATGAAGATGGAAATTTCTGTCCTGCCAGGTCCCACTGCCGGTTAGCCCCAAATAAACACACAGAGTCATCTGTTAATTATAACCTATTGGCTGATGGCTGGCTTCTTACTAGGTAGGTCTCTTTTAATTATTAACCCATTTCTATTAAAACTATGTATTGCCACGAGGCTGTGGCTTACCTGTAGTCTGGCAGGTTGCGCCTTTGGTAGCATGACGTCTCTTCTCCGACTCTCTCTGCTTTCTTCTCCCTAGCCTTCTCCTGGTCTGGTTGATGCCTCTCCCCCATCATTTCTACCTGGCTATTGACCAATTGGTGTTTTTTTCGTCATCCAATAAGAGAAACATACATACAGAGGAGCATCCCCCATCATTCAGAGATGGCTCTGTGGTTATGAGCATTTGCTGCTCTTTCAGAGGACCCAAGTGCAGTTCTCAGCATCCACTTGGTGGCCACACTCTAGTTCTAGGGGCTCTGAGGCTATCTTCTGGGCTGAGGGCACCAGGTATGCACATGGTGCACATACATACATGTAAGAAAACACTCAGACACATAAAATAAAAATGGTGCATAAAAGAAGAAAGACAAACTCTTGGTGTCATTAACCCAAGAGTAAGTCTGGTTTATTCAGAAGAGTTTTGATCTCTTCTGTCCTGATCGAATGATACTCCAATCTAAAAGAAGCCTAGTCTAAAAGAGAAGCTGGGCGGTGATGGTACACACCTTTAATCCCACTACTCAGGAAGCAGAGGCAGGCAGATCTCTGTGAGTTTGAGACCAGCCTGGTCTACAAAGTGAGTTCCAGGACAACCAGAGGTACATAGAGAAACCCTGTCTCAAAATACCAAGAGAAATGAGAAAGACAGAGAGGGTGGGAGGGAGGGAGGGAGGTTGATAGGGAGGGAGGGGAGGGAGAGAAGAAAGAAGGGGGAGAGAGGGAGAATGCTCTAATCTAAGGGAATCTAATCTAAGAAGCAGTAGCCCAAACAAAGGCCATTCTCTCTGTATACTGAACAGCGTAACAAACATGGCAACAAAAAAGAAAGAGGCATCTTTGTCTTAAGCAATCTTTGCTGTTCAAACCACTAGATCTTAACTGATCTAGTGGCTTCAGTTTGCTCTAGAATCACAACAGTTCTCACAGACAGTGGGTTACAAAACAAAACAACCGGAAAAGCCTGAAGTAGGGAAGGGGACTTTTGGGACACCTGGGGAGAGTGAGAGAGGAGGAATAAGTATGGATACAATCAAGACACATTGTTTATATGTATGATCTTGTCAAAGAACAAATGAAAGAGTCTATTTTTAAAAAGAAAGAAACCACAGTTCAAAACAAACATGAATCAAGGCATTTTGCTGAGAGATGTTTGTCCCTGTGAACAATGACAAGCATCTCTCCTGACTTCTCTTCCCAGCTGGAATCATCACTGTCTTCCTATGGCAACATTCCCTTTCCCACTTGTTTCTTGAATAACGATGGAAATTCGGCTCCCTTCTAGAGTGAACAGATTCCTCTGGCCCAGCCTAGAGCAATGGTGTCAGATCTCTGAGCAAGGCTGCATCTCTGACAACCAGAAGGCTGTCCCAGTACCTGCTCTTTGATGCTCTCTCTCTTCATTGAGCTCCAGGAGACACAGATTATTTTTCTAAAAGAGACTTGGAAGCCAGGGATAGTAGGAGCATCTGTAGCTACTGCTTTCTGAGAAGCTGAGGCAGGAGGGTGTCAAGTTTGAAGTAAGGCTGGGTTACACTGTGAGATGAGGTTTCAAAACAACAGTAGCATCAAAAGGAGATTTGGGTCTAGATCTCTGGGATGAAGTCGGCACCGTGAGTCACGTGTCTAGGTAAAGTTCTAATAATTTTCTCAGAAAGTTTCTTTTTAAAAATCTGCCTCTGGCCTGGGGCTAGAGAGATGACTCAGAGGTTAAGAGCACTGGCTGCTCTTCTAGAGGTCCTGAGTTCAATTCCCAGAAACCACATGGTGGCTCACAACCACCTGTAATGAGATCTGGTGCCCTCTTCTGGCCTGCAGGGATGCGTGCAGGCAGAACACTGAATACATAATAAATAAATAAGTAAATAAATAAATCTTAAAACAAACAAAAAACCATATAGCCAGACAACGTTTGGGAGACAACTCTCTCCTTCCACATTGTTAAGCCTGAGTCTGTCTTGTGATTTTTGGTGAGTACTCCAGGCTAGCTGGCCTAAGAGCTTCTAGCCTTAGGTTCCCCAGTCACCCCCTCCCATCTCTCCACGGGAATACTGGACCAAGCTTTTAACTTGGGACCTGGCGGGTATTGAACTCAGGTCCTCAGGCTCAAACAGCAGGGACATTTAGCTGCTAAGCTGTCTTGCCTGTCCCGTATTCTTTCTTAATGGCTTAAAATTTAGCAGTGCTGCTGTTTAGTAGCAGCAGCTGCAGCAGGGCCTCTTTCAAGAGATTGCAAGTTTGCATTCTGCCGTGTTTATCAAAAGCCCAATCAGGAGAAATAATGTCCAGTCCTGATGGATTCCCTGAGAATGTGTGGTCCACTCATTTAAGATTTTTAAGCAGTTCTGAACTTAACCTTCCAAGGCATCAGAGCAGCAGACAGTAGCCTTCCTGGGATGTAGTGTTTGCTTACTCACTTGGATGCTTCAGTGAATCTTGCTTAGAATCACACCACCAGCCTTATTTTCTTCGAACACTGTTAAAACAAAGCAGGAAGCCAGACATGGTGGTGTCTAAGATCCTGGCTCTTAGGAGACCGAGGCAAGAGGATAATGAGTTTGAGTTTGAGACCAGCCTGAGTTACTTTGTCATATAGTTACACAGCAAGACCCAGTCTCTAAATAAAAACAGGAAGAGAGGGAGGGAGAAAATGAGAGAGGGAGGGGTCTCCACAGTTCCAAGACTGAAGCGTCTTTCTCTGGAGACTGTGTGGCACACTCTGGACACAAGAGGGCACTGTTTCTATAGCTTGCAGTCACAGGTCAGAAGTGTGTGTGTGTGTGTGTGTGTGTGTGTGTGTGTGTGTGTGTGTGTGTAAGAGAGAGAGAGACACAGACAGAGAGACAGAGACAGAGACAGAGGGGAGAGAGAGAGTGAGAGCGATGGAACTCATGGATAAATGCTGAAGAGAAGAAATTTCCTGTGTCCCAGAGTCCCAGTGAGCCATGTCTTCAGTGATCCAGACCCATGGTTGTAGCTCCCCTGAGACTACGATGTCAAAACATCAGTTTTAGGGTCTAAACTAGAATAAAAGATAAATGACCTGGAATGAGTTTGCTTAACTTCTTCTTGACTTAAAAGGGAAGTGTTGGAGCTACAGAGATGGCTCAGCAGTTAAGAGCACTTGCTGCTCTGGCAGAGGACCCAACTTTATTGAGCCCCTACATGGAGGGGTTCAGAGTAGCTGAAAACCTCTTCTGGCTTCTGCAGGTACTACATGCATGAGGTATCCTAGCAGAGGTAGTCAAAACACTCATAAACATAAAATAAAAGCAAATAAAAACATTTAAATGGAAGTCTCATCCCATGATGCTATGGGGAGGACCACACATGGATGGGAAGACTACACGGGGATGGGAAGGACTACTCTTAGGTGTCCATCTGAAGACTGCACAGGGATGGGAAGGACTACTCTTAGGTATCCATCTGAAGCAGAGCTGACCTCCAGCAGAGCTCAACCTTGGTTAGACAAGTGAATGAGATGTGTCCCATTGCACAGATTTCACTGGTCTAAAGAAAGATGGCTCAGCAGGTAAGAACACTGGCTGTTCTTCCAAAGGACTTGGGTTCAATTCCCAGCACCCATAAGGCAGTTCACAACCATCTGTAACTCCAGTTCCGGGGGATCTAACACCCTCACACGGACATACATGCATGCAAAACACCAACGCACATAAAATTTAAAATAAACAAATAATTAAATAAGAAAACCAACATACATGAGCATAAGTGCCTTGAAAGCCAAATAAGAAGCCACTGTAGTACTCTGTCTCGTTTAGCCAGTGAGCAGTGTAGAGGAAACAGTGCTGTGTGGACAGCTGCAGAGACAACTAGGGATTCAGAGGGAGACTGTGGATAGTGTGTGTGTGTGTGTGTGTGTGTGTGTGTGTGTGTGTGTGTGTGTGTGTGAGAGAGAGAGAGAGAGAGAGAGAGAGAGAGAGAGAGAGAGAGAGAGAGTTGATGTGCATGAGGGGGTGCACACATGCTAAATCGTGCATGAGGAGGTCAGAGGAAACCTGTGTCAGCCTTCACCTTCTACCATGTTTGAGACAGGATCTTTTGTTCTCTATCACTGCATCCACCACGCTGGCTGGCCGGTTAGCATCCAGGATCTCTGTCCACCTCCCATCTTGCTATAGGAACCCTGGAATTACAAATA